TCCTCACTAGGAAGGACTATTGGTTGCATGTTTTGATGTTTTTTCTATTATCTGTGTTATTTCAGGGTTGTGATCTAGATTTTACTTGTTTCATCGAGTCAAACCCTTCTATCCCTTTATTTTGTTTGTGTGAGTCTTGTCTGTTTTTTCTATTGTTATTTTTATTATCCAGGTTATTTTAGGGTTGTAACTCATATTTTAGGTTGTTTGTGATGTTGTCAAACCCTTCCATCCTTTACTCAATGAAATACAGTTTGTCTTTTTGTGTCATTCTGTTCTTAATTCTTTTCCCGCTACTTCTAGTGACATGACATGCATGCGAAATCTTTGGCCAAATCTTAGAAAACTAATTTAGTCTTTAATTGGATAAGTTAGAAAAAGACACTTTTGAGGATGAAAAAAGAGTTAAAATACCTTGGAATTAAGCCCGAGTAAAATTCAAGTGGAACTATAATAGTCATACCCGTGGTGGTTAAGGATCTTTACCTTCAAAATCATTGTGAAGATCATATTCAGGGATATTGAATCATTTGAAGTTCTGTGAAAAGTTTGACATTAATGGATGGAAAGTGTATTTTGACCGTGACACACCAAGAAGACATACATGTTCATTAATGCAGTGATCGGGAAAAGATACTATGTTTGACATTCTCAAGGCTAGGAGGCCCTTTTTCTGCTATCCAAACACTTTATATGTCATGACCCTAACCGATGGGCCGCGAAGGGCACCCGGTACCTTACTCAACTGAGTACCAATGTAACGTATCTTTTGTATCATACTATCATAGGTAAATGAAACGCAAAGGCGGCTTTGAGATAACTAGGACCCGACATAGGGCGACCCAACATGCAATACAAACTTTTACATATGACATACAGGCCTATAAGGCCAAAATGATAACTCATACGCTAAACATAGGCCGACAAGGCCATACAATCTTTCATATACATGACATATGTCTACAAGCCTCAAAGAGTAGATCAATACCATAAAGGCCGGGACAGGGCCCCGCCATACTAATCAATACACGTCCAAATCATACTGACTGAATAAGCAACTCCGGAGCAAATGGAGCACACCAACATCTTCTGCTGAGCTGATAGCCTACTTAGAGGACTCTCGACCTGTCTATCAGGACCCGAGGGCATAAAACGCAACGTCACCAAGCAAAAGGGACGTCAGTACAAATAATGTACCGAGTATGTACGGAATGAAAATCAATAAATAATATACATAAGAGGAACATGGACTAAAAGACACAACATGTAAGTATAAATAGCTCTGTGAATCATTTAATATTTATAATGTCATGTATATGCGTATAAATCTCATACCATGCATAGGTATATGCATTCATAAGATCATCAAGCCTTTGAGGGCATCCAATCAAATCATCTCGGCCACTGTAGGCAAAATCATCAACGTATACCAGCTGATCAGGTGGTGGTGTATATATAACACTGTGACCTTTTCCCATATCCCATACAAACACACACACAATATATATATATATATATATATATATATATATATATATATATATATATATATACACACACACACACATATATATATACATACATACATACACGTATATAACGCTATCTAGTCATGGCTCAATGTACATGTATAAATGAATGCAATGCATGAGAAGTACGTCAATTAAATCTCTTGGAACGTCGTAAGACCATTATACCTTTGATTAATATCATGAAATAAACTTTATCAACTTACGTATTTTTCTGAGATCAATGAACAGATGATAGAATAATAGGACACATGGGGAATCAAGAACGTAGGAACCTCTAGTATTTCTATGAATAGAGTCATTTATGGAAGTTGTGCATTTGCTCGTTTCATTTGTATCATATGGATCATGCCAAAAAGGAAAGAAGGGATATCCTTAACATACTTGAGCCAATTCTATTGACCATCCCTCCAACACACGTCAATTGCGACAACATGTAACGGTGGGTTGAAGTAGGGAAAAAAATCCGTATGTTATTCTTGAGAAAGATTGTAGCGTGCTCTTTTAGAATTGTACCTCACACTGCTATTACATAATAATCTCGTATGAACTTTTTTTGCTGAAGCTTCACCCATTACTTAGATGTAAAGATCTCCACATTTGAATGAGAGAAGTTTTTAAGTCTTGGAGGTGTGGGCCCGACTTTGATAAGATGACTAAGCCACCTATCCCTCTTAATGTGCCACCTTATAATATGGACTTCAGAGTCACTATTTGGATGCCACGTTAAGACTTATCCAAAAGCCTTGATTAATTCGTTAATCTTTCACTAAAATCAATAATTGACCCATTATCCACATAATTAAGAATTATCTGAAATTAATTAAAATACTACTCACTTTTTGCACACTTTATACAAGTAATGACCCGACCGATCATTTTGAGCATTTGCACATCGCTTGGTTGTTTGGGGGCACGAGTAGCTCCGTATAATGTATTAGGACTTGAGTGCAATATTTAAGTTCATTCCGAGTTGATTTGATATGTTTCGGCGTGAGTTTTTGGAAGTCTAAAGTTCGAAAGTTCATTAAGTTTGATTTGAGGTGCGTTTCGTCGATTGGATATTGTTATGTGTGTTTTGAGGCCACGAGTAGGTCTGTATTATGATATGGAACTTATTGGTATGTATCGACGGGGTCCCGAGGGGCTTAGGAGAGTTTCGGATAGGTTTGGGATGTGTTGCGCTCATTTTTCTTATGTTTCGTCGTTCCTTCAAGCATAAATGGTTCCACATTGAACAAATGAGCTCCGATTTATTTTTTGATTAAAGGATTAGATCCGTATCGTAATTAAGGAGCCATAGAAAAAATGAACCGTCAAATTTGGACATTGTATGAGAATTATATGGTCATTTTACTAAGAATTGGGTTGTCAAAGTTTTCAGATTAATTACGGAATTGCCACTAACCGTATATTTAAAAATCTGCAGTATTTTCAAATATTGAAACAAACATATCTACTTCAATATGAGATCAAATAGATTGATTCAAGAGCCTAACATAACTATAATTTCACAAGGAATCCATTAGAGGATCAAAAGTGAGTTTCGAGATCTTTTGGCACAAGAAACGAGGCATAACAATGTTAAAACGAGGGCTTTGTTCATTTAACATATTTTGAGTTGGGGAGCTCGGAATTGGGAAATTTTCGAGGCAATTTTAAGCATATGAATTGGGGTAAGTGTCCTCTACTCGGTTTTGTTATATTTCATGAATCTATCTTTGATTTTAGCTCTTGGTTGATGAATTTTAAAGATGAAATTGGCGGTTTTGGCCTAAAGTTTCATAATATGAATTTTTGAGTTTTGAACATCGACTCGGAGTTGGATTTGAGTGAAACTAGTATGGTTGAATTGTAATTGAATGGGTTGACGGATTTTATGAGTTTTGTTGGGTTTCGAGGTGCGGGCCCTGGTTGGGCTTTTTGGCCGATTTTGGGCTTTTGATTAAAGATTCGACCTTTTTCCATTGGGATTGGTTCTTTTAGCATTGTTTGATGTATTTGATTTGTTTTTGATTAGTTTCGAGCCATTCGAAGGTCAGAACGCACGTGATGGCATCCTTGATGCATCGCTTTGCTTGCTCGGTGTCAGAGTCGGCTTGTTTAAGATAAGTAACTCTTCTAAGCTTCGTGCTGAGGGTATGAAACCCCCAATCATGTGTTATATGATTGGTGTTGGGGTGACACACATGCTAGGTGACGGGCGTGTGGGCTTGCACCCTATGAGTTGTGAGTCTGTTGTTTCCAGGGCACTATATAGTGGCCCTATTTTATTGATATCTGTGTTTTCACCGTGTGATAAAATAAATGAGTTGTACATCATGCTAGATATCATGTTTAGGCTTTATGCTGATATTGGTGGGACTCTTAGTGGTCGTTTCTTGCTGTCATCTCATTGAATTCATTGATATTTCGTACTCAGTCACATTCATGCATTCATATCATATCTGAGTCTCAGTTATTACTTATTGATACATCATATCATTGTTTCGGGTCAATTTTCATGACATTGTGAGCCCGTGGGGTGAGACTGGAGAGATGGATGACTGAGTGAGGTCGAGAGCCTAATTATGAGTGACAGTTATGGGATCGGGCTGCACGGCACAACAAGTTTTATTGATTATTAAGTAAGGCCGAGGGCCTAATTTATTTATGCCATGATTGGCTTGTTATAGGGTTTGGGCTGAAGGAGCCCCTCCGGAGTCTGCACACCCCCAGTGAGTGCAGTTGATTATATTCAGGGATGGATCTTCCCTTGGTATGGAGATGGATCTTCTCCATGAGGCTGGATTGGCCTATTTCCTCTGTATTGGGTGACTTATAGTGAGTGATATATATATATATATATATATATATTCCGGGATGGATCTTCCCTGGGCCGTATGGGCCATATACAATACCGAGTGGTTGAGCATGATGAGTGAAAAGTGTGAGATAGTGAGATTGAGTACTCTAAGAGTGTGAGTACATGATTCATCTCTGAGATACATGGCATTAGCATGCACACATGACATGCAGGCATAGAGATACATTTTTTTCCTCATGGTATACGGTATCATGTCATGCATGACTTTTACACACATTGACATGTGGCATAGATAGGTATTTCACACTTTTTATCTGGAAAGAAAATGAAACATCTTATTATTTGTGAAAAGGATTTTCAGGAAAATTATAGTTTTCAAACTATCTTATATTTCATGACGTTTTCGGTAAAGAACTTGGGTTTTTTCACTGATATTCTTGAAGGGCGGGCTATTTTTGGAAAAATATGAAAAGATTGAGCATTTTATCTTTGAGCTGCTTCTTTACGTACTTGCTTTACAATACTATGAACTGCTATTGGTTATTGGTGTCGGACTCAACCTATGTTCCAGCTCGTCACTGCTTTCAACCTAAGGTTAGGTTTGTTACTTTTGTGCACATGGGGTTGGATGTACTCATTCTGAACTTCCTGCACATTGCGTGCAGGATCCCGGATGCCGATGTTACTGCATTCGATGGTTGCTGGATTTGGAGGCGTACCTACGTTCCTGCTGTAGCTGCCTCTTGTTCATGCTAGCCTTAGATTGCAAAATTCTATTTATGTACTTTTCAAACAGAGGATGTATTTTCTTCATATAAGCTTTGTAAATTCTATTCTTAGAAGCTCATGATTTGTACTACCAGACCTTGGGAGGTGTACTAGATCCAGATAATTTATTTTGTTTAACTGGCTTATTGGCAATGTTGAATTTGAATTAGTTAGTAGTTGGATTACCTAGCCGGTTGGGGTTAGGTTCCATCACGACTAGGGATGTTGGGTCGTGACAGATTGGTATCGGAGATCTAGGTTCCTAGGTTCTACAAGTCATGAGCAAATGTCTAGTAGAGTCTTGCGGATCGGTATGATGATGTCACGACCCTAGTTCACCAACCGTGAACATGTCATGACGGCACCTGGTCCCCATGCCCAGGTAAGCCTAACATTTGCAGAAATATATTAATTGCGGAACCTGTGGCGTGTATCACCACACTCAAAACAAGCTCTGGGAGGTTGCGGTGGCTGTGACTGGCTGGGACTAGGCCTGCTGGGCTGCCCTCTGGAAGCACCCCGCGCAGGAGGCGCGCTAGAAACTGAAGGTGCATAATAAGGCTCCTGAGGTGGAGGTGGAGCTGGAGTACTGCCGGCTGCTGGAAGAGCTGAATGTACAGGGCGACCCGAATAACCTCTGCCATAACGACCTGCTGATGAGGTACGGGCACCAGAGTAGTGACCCGACTCTCGAGACCTCTTGGCCTCCCTCTCTCCTTGCTCCCTGGCGAGCATACCCTCAATCCTCCTAGCAATGCTCACTACCTGCTGATAAGGAATGTCCATCTCCAACTCTCGAGCCATGCTAGATCTGATGGGTGGAATAAGACCCTCAATGAACCTGCGAACTCTCTCCCGAACTGTAGCAACCAAAGCCGGTGCATGCCTGGCCAACCTGGTATAACGGATAGCATACTCCGAAACGGTCATAGCACCCTGGCGCAAATGCTCAAACTCTGCGCGCCATGCATCCCTGAGACTCTGGGGAACAAACTCTCTCATAAACATATCCGAGAACTGGGTCCAAGTCAGTGAAGCAGCCTCGACTGGACTGTCTATCTCATAAGTGCGCCACCAATCATAGGCAGCTCCCCGAAGCTGAAAAGCAGTGAAAGAAACCCCGCTGGACTCCACTATGCCCATAGTGCGAAGAATACGATGACACTCCTCTAGAAATCCCAAGGCATCGTCTGATGCTAATCCACTGAACACTGGGGGATCATACTTCTTGAACCTCTCAAGTCTGCGCTGCTCGTCCTCTGAAGCAGCTGACCCATCCTCGGGCTGAACTGGTGCTGCAGGCGGTGCCGGAATAATCTCGGGAGCCTGCTCAACCTGCACTCGCTGCTCAGGAGTGCGGACGGCAGGAGTCTGTGCTCCTCCCCCGGCCTGGGATGTGGCTGCAGCAAGGGGAAGCAACCCTGCCTGAGCCAAGGTGGTGTACATGCTCATGAACTGAGCCAAAGTCTCCTGGAGCGCTGGAGTAGTAGTGGCAGTAGTAGGTGTGCCAGGTGCCTGGGCTCCGGCTGGATCTGCTGGTGGTACCTCGGCGGCAGCTCGCGCAGGTGCTCTAGCTGCACCACGTGCGCGTCCTCGACCTCTACCCCGGCCCCGGCCTCTGGCGGCGGCAGCAGGGGGCGCGGGTGCCTGATCATCTCGAGTAGCGCGTGTCCTCACCATCTGTGAGAGAATAGAAGACAGAAGTTTAGATTTGATGTCAAAAATATCGCACGACAAGGAATTCAAATGAAGTGAAGATTTTTCCTAAACAGTTACATAGCCTCTCGTAGATAAGTACAGACGTCTCCGTACCGATCAGCGAGACTCTAATAAACCGGCCTGTGTTCCGTGACTCCTATGAACCTAGAGCTCTGATACCAACTTGTCACGACCCTAGTTCACCAACCGTGAACATGTCATGACGGCACCTGGTCCCCATGACCAGGTAAGCCTAACATTTGCGGAAATATAATAATTGCGGAAAAATAGAGAAAATCAAATCAAATATCTAAAGGAAACTGTACTGAATGCCGCTTGGCAAGTACAACTCAATATCACAAGTCTAAAACAATTCCCAAAACCCGGAAACTCACGGGCAACACAGGCTACAGAAGTGTATAGTAAAGGTTCCAAACTCCAGAATTTCTAACAACCGAAAGAAGGAAAAACTAAGTACTAAAGATAGAATAAGAGGGAGACTCGTCGGTCTGCGGACGCAGCAGATCTACCTCGAAGTCTCCGTAGTCCTCCTGCCTCACTGATAGTGCGCCTGAGTAGAGGTACCTGGATGATCTGCACATGAAAAACATGCGCAGGAAGGGCATGAGTACACCACAGCGGTACTCAGTAAGTGCCAAGCCTAACCTCGGTTGGGTAGTGACGAGGAAGGTCAGGGCCATACTGAGACAAAATATAGTAATAACAATAATTAACAGTATGATAATCTGACAGAAATAATAAATACAGCAGTGATATAAGACAGATTAAGCAAGGCAATAGCAAATACACAAGAACGGAACAACCACAGAATAAGTACAGCTCAACACCAATGGTAACAATGAGGATCTCCCAGGATACCGTCCTGTAGTCCTTTTCTCAACTGTCCAGTGGATCTCCCGGGATACCGTCCCGTAGTCCATCATATGTGTATATCCGAAGGATCTCCCGGGATACCGTCCCGTAGTCCAACTATCAATGTGCAGGGGGATCTATCGGGAATCTAACCCGCAGTCCCAAAGTAAAAGTGCAGGGGGATCTACTGGGAATCGAACCCGTAGTCCCAAAGTAAACAAACAAGGGGGGAGCTACCGGAATCCCACATCCGTAGTCCCAATGTAAATGCGCAATCACAACCAGAAGGTACACGGAAACGAAGTACAAAAAGACAAGCAACAGATAGTACTGACCTAGCATGCTTCACGTAGTACAGTTAAGGCAGCTTAAGCAATTAGGCAAGTTAAATCAACTAAACATGCTTTCCTAATCTAGCACAAGTTATAATTTCAAGTAGAATAAAGCAAATATGGAAGGAACTCAATCTCAATATCTTAAGAAAAACCGGGTTTTCCAACAATTTTCTCAAGTACACGCCCGTCACCTCGCATACAAGGCACTCAAATCAACAAATAACAAATCCTAAGGGGAAAGGTCCCCCACACAAGGTTAGACAAGCCACTTACCTCGAACCGGCTCAATATCAATAGAAACCACGCCTTTGCCACGAGTATCCGAATCCAAATGGCCCAAATCTATTCAATTCAATTACACATCATAAATAATATTGCAAACAACTGATTCCACTATTAAGTTTAGAGCTAGGGCGCGAAAATAGGTAAAATGACCAAAATGACCCTCCAGCCATCGTCTCGTAATCGAATAATTTTTATGTTTTCAGAACCCTCGTACTCTCACGAGTCTAACCATATAAAAATCTCCCAAATCGGAGGTCAAATGACCCCTCAAAACCCCATAGTTAGGTCTAAGAAGTTTACCCACTTCCCATTCAAAAACACAAAATTAAAGGGTGAATTTGCGATTAGATTAATGGGTTTTAGTCATAGGAGAGTAGAGAATCGTTACCTGGTGATTGCCCTTGAAAAACCCTTGAAATTGCTCCCAAATTCGAGCTCCAAACCTTGAGTTTTGATAAAAATGGCAAAACTTCGTTTTTGAAATGTTAAGTACTGTTCAGGAGTCTAAAGCATCGCGAACGCGATAGGAAGCACGCGTTCGCGAAGAAGGAAAATATCAGGGCCCAAAAATGCCCTTCGCGATCGCGAACGCGAAGGCCAGGGGATCAAGAACTACGCGAACGCGATGGAGGAAATAGTGAAGCTACACGGACGCGGGTGATCTTATGCGAACGCGAAGAGGAACGGGCCCCCCTCTCCAGACTTACACTACGCGAACGCAGGAGAGTGGCCGCGAACGCGATGAGAGGATGGCTACTACTACGCGAACGCGGTGCCTCGCGAAGAAGGAATTCAGACCTGCAACTTTCTGCAACATTTCCAAACTTCAAATTGCTCGGATGAGCATCCGAAACACACCGGAGGCCCCCGGGACCTCAACCAAGCCTACGGACATATCCCATAACATCATTCAAACTTGTACCAATCCTTAAACCACCTAAAACAACGCCGGAAACACGAATTAATCAAAGATTCAAGCGTAAGAACTTCAAATTCCAACAAAACACACTTTCGATCAAAAACCAAACCAAACCTCGCCCGAATGACCTGAAATTTTGCACACATATCCCAAATGACATGACGGAGCTACTGCAACTTCCGGAATTCCAATCCGACCCTCGGATCAAAAACTCACTATCGGACCGGAAACTTCAAAAATTCAAACTTCGGCATTTCAAGCCTAAATGAGCTACGAGCCTCCAAAATACATTCCGAACACGCTCCCAACCCCGAAATCACCTAACGGAGCTAACGGAACCATCGGATTTCCATTCCGAGGCCTTCTTCACACTGTTCCGATTACGGACCATTTTTCAATTCTTAAGCTCTCATTTAGGGACTAAGTGTCCCAAAACACTCCGAATCCCAACACCGAACATCCCGGCAAACCAAAATAGCAGAAATGAAGGGAAGCAGTTAATGGGGGATCGAGGCATAAATTCCAAAAACGACCGGCCGGGTCGTTACATATGACGTCCATACCTATCTTCGAGAGGCTATAGAACATTTAGGATATACTTCCCGTTTTTCTTTCCTTATCGTGCGACATTGATTCAGCTTGAAGCGTAACTCTTTGAATTCCCTCCACCCATTCGTACGCATATGAGTGCCTGGTATCAGCTATGCATTGACGACTTGCGATTCTATGGAAGAGGTACGAGATGTGATTTTGGTATGCTAATGATGGCCTAGTCTGGAGGACTTGAGGTCGAGTTTTGACTGTCTTGAGCACTGAGGTGTTGATTGTGTGAGCGTGTGCTTTTGGACTTATATGTCCGGTAGTATCCCTATTAGTGGAAATTTGTGGCTGGATGACTACATGATGAGTATGATGTGACTGCGAGATGTGTTCATATGATTTGAATATGAGGAGAAGGGTCTGCTCGAGGTGTAGAAAGAACTATTTGGTGCTTGATTTCCATCTTGATGTGATGTATAGCCCCGAGT